AAAAGCAGTGTGGCTTCCGGCCCGGTCGAAGCACCTCTGACCATATATTTGCCCTGTGCCAGACTGCTGAGAAATCGTGGGAGTACGCCCATCCGGTGTACATGTGTTTTGTTTAACCAGAAAAAGCCTATGACCGGATCCGACGCAACAGTCTGTGGTCATGCCTTCAAGCACACGAGATAGATGGTTAGATGCTAAAGGCCATTCAGTCCCTGCATTGTGCTAGCAGGTGCTGCGTCAGAGTAAATGGCGTTCGAGTAGAGTCGAAACCATTCAACGTTCGCACTGGTCTCTGCCAAGGCTATCCTGTCCCCTATCCTGTTTGTGTTGTACATGGATAGAATAGTCAGGAGCTGCCAAGGCGATGAATTGATCGTTGTAGGAGATGTGAAGACCAGGAGGTTGCTGTCTGCAGACGACCTCGTTTTATTAGCATTTCCTGAAACTGATCTTCAGTGCTCCTTAGAATGGTTCGCAGCCGAATGCGATGTGACCGGCATGCGTGTGAACGCATCTAAAACGAAAACCCTTGTGCTTTCTCGTCTCCTGTCCGTTGTTCTCTTCAGATTGATGGAGAGGCAATGAAGCAATTGCAGAAGTTCAAGTACCTCGAAGTTGTGTTCACCAGCGATGGAAAGTTTGAAGAAGAGATCGAGCGGCGAACTGGAGTAGCCAGTGGCGTTCTGGTTGAACTACATCGATCCACTGTGACTAAAGCAAAGCACAGTCTGAAAACTAAGCTCTCGATGTTCAAATCGATCTTTATCCCCATGCGCACCTATGGTCATAAGTCGTGGACCATCACTGAAAAATTTCGAACCCGGGTACGAGCTGCTGAAATGGGCTTTCTTAGACGAGTCGCTGGCCTTACGCGTCTCGACATGATCCTGAATGCTGACATCCGGGAGAGCCTTGGAGTACAGCCTCTGCTTCTCCAGATTGAGAAATTGCAGCTGTGATGGTTTGGGCGTGTGTTGCGAATGCCTCCAGGAAGGAAGACTAAGGAACCGTTTCTTGTCAGACTGACCAGCAGAAAGCCCTGGAGATGGACAAATTTTACCTGGTTCAAATATAAGCAAAGAGTCTGTTCCGCACTCCAGTTGTCTTCTGCCAAACCTCAGACTCTGGCACAGGATCGGGAACGTTGGAAGCTCTGTCTGACGCGTCTGCCTCCGCGACCGGAAAAGAGAAGCAGCGATGGAAGATGATGAAGAAGATAAAAATAGTGACTTCTGATAAGCAATATTCTTTCATCGTTCATGAATATCTTGATGATGGCGTCTTTGTCTGAAGACGAAACGTGAGAATACGAAAAAGAATATTTCGCACAAAAGCCATGCGTTGCAGAAGAGGTGAATTAATAAAGTCTATTTGCCTGCTTTTACTGTTCATTTGTTCTCATGAAAGCTGTGTCCTGTAGCTGTTCAGCTTCAAGCAGATGTCACGTCAACCGTCTTCGACAGCTTACTACGTTCCTTTACTTCGGGACAGTATGAATACTCTTACACTAAACGGAGTACCGCTGCATCAGTCAGATCGCTCAGCGCATTGCTCAATATTTGTATACGACGGTTGCACATGTGCTTATCATAGATATAACGGCTTTTACTTATCCGATGCCATCACTATGTGCGTGAAGTATACTGCCAATACTATTTCATTGCATTTAGAATAGTCCAGATCTGAATTTTTGCGTTTCTTCGTTTCCATTCGACAGGTGCGTACTGGATGAACGATGGTTGACCAAAACTCAATCCAAAGAACTCTGTGAACTGTATTATCCATCGCACAAAACCTGCACGGAACTTGCCTTACCAACTGTACAGTTCTGCAATAATTTGTTTGAAAAGGGCGCCAAAGTAAAATGCCCGGGGTTGACTGAGGAAAGAGAGTCACATATGAATGCAATGGTTGGCAAATTGCAGTGATCGGCATCGGTTCTACCAGATTGGCCGCGCTTGTGCGTTGGCTCAGAAATTCTGAAAGACTTCACCAAATTCTGCATTCTAGTGATCTTCCACTGCGCTGCACCGGTCTACTTCTGCAGTTTCCGGATATAACAAATGGCTCGCGTCCTAGGCCTTTGAAACTATTTGGCCGACGCGGTAAGTACAACGCTAACGAGCTTTGGTCAATCATTGCCAGATGCTTGATAAAGGCAACAGTTGCTCCGGGCAATTCTATTTTAACCAACCCAACTCACCCGCTGCACTAATGTTTCCAACAGTGCCTTTCTAAGCGACCAAGCACAAGATACGTGCACGTTTCATGCAGGTACCTGATGTCAGATCGATACAAAGAAAGAAATACAGTTATCTGTACCAGGTTCAGATTAGCCTGAGATCCACATTTTCATCACCTGCATTTTTTTTTGTTTTGTATTTGTTCATTTCTTGTATCCGGGTTTTGATAACTTATCGTGTGCCTTAGGGATCACTCAAGCAAATCTGACCAACTGACTGACCGTCTGATATGAAATATGAAACAAAGAACCAAAAACGAAGATCACCAACTTTAAAATAGTCGCATTAGCGCAATTAGCGTGCAATATGGAAACGTGCACTGTCCTTACGACGTTCATCTCTACAATGGTGTCTACGAAATAATCTAAAAATGCGATGTCACGACCGGATCTCGATCGAACATTGCGGACGATAACCAGTTTGAGAAAACTTTCAGAAAACATTAAACACTGGAACCGTTCTCAGTTTGATACAAGAAAGGAATATGGAATACAATTTCCGCCTTCACTGACACTGTTCAATCAATGGCTTATGGACATATAGGTAAGCTAGAAATGCATCGTAGAGAACAACCAGGCCTGTTCTTCAGTTGAATATGACCATTGTGCGTGCGAAGATTTCCAAATATCAGGCTGAGACCCCATTTTATACGAGTAATATGTCACTATTCTGGACACAGTCGTTGTTAAGAGTTTCAGTGTCACTGATGATAACGACAACAACAAAAACAGCTTGTCCTTAACAATGTTTTAAAATACAATATAATATACCTGCTCCTTCGAACAGAAGCCACAAATGACACGGTTAGCGAGCGTCATTTCGTGGTCCTCATTCTTTTCGTGACATAAATCACATGGATAGATTTTCTTGCAACACGGAAATCTAAACGATTAAATAAGCGGAGCATAACAAACTTCAGCTAGATCAGGGCATTATATTATCAAAGAAATGTTAATAAAAACCACGAATATCAAAATTCAAAGTTTTCCGTGTGGTTTTCACTAGAGCTGTTACTCAGCATTACACATTAACTTTTAACTTTTAAGATTTTGCAGTAAACCGCCTTCATGCCCAGTTTTCATCGCCAGCGGAAATATGCATTTACGGCTCTCCAGAAAGCACCTCAAGATCCAAATAAACCTGTTTATTGAGAACTCAAAAAATGGTAGGTTACTTAAGAAGGTATTACATTAAGTTTTCGGGGCGATAAGTATCAAGACGACACTCAGGTTCTTGTCATAATGCTTTTCGTAGTTGTTACTCGATCGGAAACACTCAGTGACCGTAAGCAAGTGACAACCAACTACACCGTAAAAACCGTACGTGAAATACAGATCGACACATCAGCGGAAAATTTATTATTGTGATGTATATGCTGATGAGGCAAATGGCGTTTGCAATGTCAATAGACAGCTTACTCAAAGAAATCACAGAAGTAGCTGACATTATACATCAGAACTTGAATACTAAATGTGCGCAAGGCGTTAACGTCGTCTGTGAACAGCATCCTGATGAGGATTATCATAATAACAATTACGACGATGATGGTGATCGTGACGTCTGTAACCAATTAGAAGCTCAGGAAGGAACATACCATCATCAGCGAGATATCGGCCTCCTTTACACGTATGACTGGGAGCCACTTGAGGCGTCTTTATTTCAAGAAGCCTGTGAAACAGCGCTGAGCTTCGTTTTCATGGCATCATCCAGGAGTACCATATTTTTTAAAGGCACAATCTACAGCAGTGTAGCAAACATAGGCGCTACGGTAGCTAGAAGGTCTGTCATGAACCGAAACATGGCTGAGTAATGAGGCTCTGCTAGGTCATTAACACTGTGGTGAGCATTATCGCCCATTGCTTGTAGAGACCTTCAGAAAAAATAAAAAGAATGAAAACGTATCGAACACGCTTGTTTCGCAGGAACCGCCGCCGCCGTGTGGAAAACGCATGGGAGGAGAGTGCGAAACTAGGACATTTGAAAACACTTCGCTGAGAAAAATCTGCTTTCGATGAAGCACCCTTGCCACAGCAACGAACGTTGCCTAATATTAGCTAAAACGAAATGCCATATCTAATATTCAGAGTAATCAATCTTGGCTACTTTGCTGTTCCTGCTTCATCCGCTTAGATAACAATGTAAACAAAGAAAATATAAATATACGATGCAGTTTTAAACGTGAGTAAAAGGTCAGAGATGACTCGAGTTACAGGTTAGAGAATTCCAGGCAGATGCAGAAAACAATATCAGGGATCTGTTGCCTTTGCAAAAGTTAGTTGCCAACACTGGCCGGTTCAAGCAGTCGTTTACGTATATTCTAGAATATCTGACAGAATGAAAATGACGAACAGACATTGTATCGAGTATAACAAATCTGTCTGTCAAGGAAAAGTTTTCGCACCTTTTTAACAAAATAAATGCCATCTCGAAATATACACCTCGCCGAATCAATCTCTGGCAATTCTCAACCATCTACCGCTTGACCTCCAACAGTGTAACATATCTTTAGATCCGTAAATTTTAGATATGTCATGTCGTTAGCATATCTAATATATGATCTGTTGTTCCCAAATCGCTACGCTAAAGGCTAAAACCATAGGAGATAAAACGCAGATTAGCAGGAGGTCAAGATTATTCTCTACAATGATAGATCGTTTCATTTCACAGCAGCAACTTAGCAACTAAATGGTTTACCAACTAATGAAATAGAGTGGTTTATGCCTGCACTGTCAAATGAGGAAGAATAAACCTTCAGTAATAGACGGTTTCATTCTTTCATACATTTTGATTCAACCAAGCTTTATTGTAATCGATGCGCAGGTCATTAAAAATGTTTCAAAGATCAGAGGTGAGAGCAACAACGCGTTCCGGTGAACAATTATAGAAAAGGCATTTAGCTACCCACCCGACAGTAAACAACAAATAAAGCAGGTTCCGATCAGTACTTAAAGTAAATAAAAAGTTTTCCGCTCTGAAGAATGGTTTTTTGACCTCTAAACAATGTTTTCGGATAATGGATCAGGTAATCGGCACATAAGTTTCGATCTACTAGTAAACGTACACCGCAAAATAAATTGAAAGATACCTGAACCACCGAAAGCTTTTCTTGTAATGTGAACAGGTACCGAAATCTGGCAAAGGCTTTCCCTCTTCTTTAACAATAATTTGTTCAGTTCGTTGTTTAACTTTCGATTTTTCTCCAGGTTTCCTTTCCAAGTCTATAGCTTTGTTTGCGTGTTTAAACTTCAGACACGCAAGCTGAATATTAATTTTTGCATGACATCGCGAGCACCAGCGCGATTCTGGGTGGTTCACATTAAAACCCTGCAAATAACGATTTAAACCGAAAGAATCGTCAGTTCATATATCGTACCGTAACTCGCTGTTCATCACCACATTCAAAACACGACAGTTTGAATGATGAATTTGGCAGAACGAGGTCAAAAATGGCCAGCCCTGAAATGGCGACGTATCCCAACAAAAAGGAGTGCCTGTGAATGCAACAAGCGCAGAAACGCGCCAAAACCTCTGTATGGCACTTCTGACACGTGGTTGAAAACTGCACACCGTCCGCAAGCAGGCACTCAAGCTTCGTCTTGCAATGAGTGCACTGAAACACGAAGCACAGTTTCTGTGCAGTCATTGTGCCGAACGATTCGCTGGTATCAAGTTCGGCAAATCGAACTTCCAGCTGATCAGCCGAGAGCTTCATCTGGTTTGCTACATCGGAAGCTGACACTGACTGTTTATCGCTTTCAATTTCGGGCAGTGACGGACTTGAATCATCAGAAAACACAGAACACTGCGGCCGGGAAGTACCTTGGCTGTCAGAGTTACCTGTAGATTCACGTATTTCTAAATTCTCGTCAACTACAGCGATCGGAGAAAACGACTGATTGCCACTTTTTCCTTTATCAAGCTTCGTACTTTCTGCCGGATCTGCCGAACGATCGTCGATAGAGTCATTCCGAGAGTTCTCTCCAGAGGGTTTTTTTAAGCTACCCGGGATGACGCAGGTAATTCCTTGAGCTTTCGCATTACAGATTAAACGTTCCTTAAAAAGGCAGTTGCGAGCTCAGTTCCAAAAACACACATTACAGAAGGCGCAGTTATTGCATTTATCCATGTTGAATTTAACAACGAAACGTGCTTATCCTAGGGTGACAACAAAACATGTGAGCGACGGCAAAATGTTAGGAGGTCAACTTCGAACTATTGAGGTGCAGGACTGGAATCCCGAAAAAATTCTAACTCGAGGAAGGAATTCGTCAACTGCGCTTCAATACAAGCAGTCAAGAAACAGGTATCAAGTTGCTGACTTGTGAATTGTAGAGACAGTCTGGTGCACTGATGCGGTCATATCAGAACGGAAGAGAAGTAAGGTCATAAAATCTGGTCTTGGAGAAGTTATGGGCCAATAATCATACTCGGGAAACGAACCCACGTTTTCATGTAGCACTGCTTTGCGTAATTATAATCATCATAATACGCTAACAAATGTTTCATACCCCCAAAGCTAGATTTCATGGCGCATTACATTACCCTTGCACACATTCGCTTAATAGGCAATTTAAGCAGACCACATGCATTTGAACCTTTACTTGCTTAGATGCGTCTCACATACGTCATTTTATTCCCTCGATCAAATGGTTTCATATACACTCTAAAGATGGTTTCATACACATTTATGTGCTAACAAGCGTTCAATTCATTCAAGGCTAAATGTGACAAACCTTAACTCTTGCTAACACACAACCGTATACGAAGCCATTTTTTGGATGTTTATGTGATATGTAAGAGATACCAACTGTTGAGACACCGTTCATGTTGAGCATAAGGTTGTTCTAGCGAGGCGCACCTGGCATTGTAGATGATCGGATACCGATACCACGGAGGTGTAAAATTATAAAATGCCCCCCCCATCCTGCATCCTGAGGCAAGCAGAACCAAGGGGATGGTGAACTGTGCCATAAGATTCGGTCTCAGAAACGATTCGCGCTTTTTAAAACATCACATGAACGAATACATGTTTGATATTATAACCACCGACGTACGGGAAACCGATTCAAACTCGTCCAGTGCATCGATGCTGACAAGCACACGTTCGAGCGAACAGAATCTAACGCTAAACAATCTATGACTATTGCGCTATATAGGGATCTGACGAGGAGACGGTGTCAGATTACGTTTTAAGAATGGCTTACTGCTAGCAAACCTGATCAAAATAAATGGCTGCATTACCCGTCGCAACCCCGCAATGAACATGTTCAACATTTCTCGCTGGAACCATTTCAGAAACGGTCGAAGGCACAGTTCCACAGTCCCTCGAGAACCGCAGTTGCTCGTTCTTTTTTGCAGCCAGTCTTTGCAGCTTTGGTTAATAAAATTACGCAGTGCCCTTGGCAGGGGGCATGTTTCTGGCACGAATATTTTCATCGCTGAAAGTGGATAATCGTCTGGGAACTCGATATGCATTAGAACACTGCATATGGGGAATGGCTAAACACGCGAATATTATAAGGCAAGAAAATCAGTAACCACCTTACCCAATCTGGATCTGTCGACTTCACCTCAACCTCAAATGTGCAATCTGCGACAACCTTCTTATGAGGGAATAATCTCGTCAACGTCTGCACTTCGCGGTCGCGCAACTCGTGTGCTCTGTCCGCGCTAACCTTGGAAGCGTCGAAACCAAGTCGGCGGGTCGCCGAAACGGGCAATTCGCAGGGACGTTGATGTGAAAATCGGCAGCGATCACCAAACCGGCAGGTACCTGTGTTCTGAAACATTTGACAAATCGGCTTGCGCCAAAATTCTTTGTCAACTTGACTTCGATCGCAAGACGACCTCATAACACATAAGCTTAGGCGCTGGCACAAGTTTAGATATAAAATTGAGAAAAAACGAGTAACTGTATTATAAATAAAAAATTTGCAGGTTACAATGGCAACGTATATCTCTTAAACGAAGTACGGAAATGCTGCATACTGAAGCATAATTCAACGATGTTAGGCTCTTGAAACATTCTTTCACAAATAGTATATAATAATTCCATAGTAACATTATCGCAAAAATTTGGACAATACTCCAACTATCACTAAAGACGTTATCTAACATGGCGATGAACCATCATGAATCAAAGTCACTCACTCACTTTCAATATCCGCTTATCCTTTCGGGTCGCGGAAGGTAAACACATCAGTCAGTTTTTCCAGCGCTACCGATCTTATGTTAGCGTTTGAGCTTCGACAGAACATAAACTGAGTCTAGAGCATAGTTCTTCGATGCAACACATTCGACACATTTACCAAATACTCGAGGAAGTCATTGAGCAATTCGACCTATCGTCTGACAAAGGAGACGCGTGGGAATAGTGATTCTTCTCAGAAAGATTATTTCAGCCGTTTGTACGTGGATCAGAGAATTTCAATTATGTTAAACTTCTCCTAGCTTACGTGGTCATCGGAATGAATATGGACTAGAACACAATGAGTTTGCTTTTCAGACTCAGCTATGCTTTAGTTACAATGGCTTAGATTGGTTCACACAACTCAGTAAGGGAGATTCCAATTATCACTTTTATCTTTCATCTCCGCCTCTCCTTTCGGGTCGCGGAGGCAGACGCGTCAGACAAAGTTTCCAGCGTTCCCGATCCTGTGCCAGAGTCCAGCTTCGGCAAAAGATAACTGGAGTCTGAAACACACCCTTTCCATATATTTGCACCGGGTTAATCTTGGCCGTCCCCTGGGCCTTCT